GAAAATGGATGCACCCAAGAAGGAAAGAAGTCCAACTCTCAGAATTGCTGAAGGTTTAGATCTGAAGGATGATGAAATGTCTATGATCACTAGAAATTTCAAAAAATACTTGATTAGAGGAAAGGGTTCTTCAAGAGGTACAACCTTCAACAAACCAAGGGCTCCTGAGAAACAGACCAATGAGGGATCCTACAAGTGTGGTAAGACTGATCACATGATCAAGAACTGCCCTCAATGCGAAATTGAGTGGAAGAAGGAAAGGGCTGAACGAAGGAGCACGAAGAAGGAACATGTTCAACCAAAAAGGAACAAAGGATCAACAAAGGCTATGGTTGTTGCCTGGGGAGAAACATCAGATGAGGACTCAGAAGATGAAGCTAGAGATGAACAAGCTCTTATGGCCATCGGAGAATCAGATGATGAACAAGAGGTAAGTATTCTTCATCTCAAAGACAAGATTAAATTTTTGTCTACAGAAAGGTTGTCTGAGCTATTGTTGGATTTCATTGATGAGTTTGAGATAATTAACAATGAAAAAAAAGAGCTGTCTAGGGAATGTATGATCCTAAAAGCCAAGTGCAAAAATCTAGAGTCTAGGCCTAATGAGAGTGAAAGTGAAAATACTGAGTTGAAGAACCAGGTTCTTGAACTTAACACAAGTGTCCTAGAACTTAGGTTTGAGAACTTAAACCTGAAACTAGGAACAAGAAAGAAGAAAGCTGATTACACTCATCTCACCCTAAAAGAAAACTTAGGAAAAGTGAAAGATGAGCTATATAGGAAAGATGAGCAGATAAGAGTACTAAAATAAGATCTAGGGAAGGTAAAACATGAACTAGACAGAACTTGCAAATGGAACAAGGCTTCGGATGCACTCTCCTGGCTACACGAACATCACAGTAGCAACAAAAGAGGACTTGGTTATGGGACTCAAGCACCTAAGTGGGATCCTAGAAGCAAGTATCTCACTCTTCCTGAAAACAAAATTTGCACACATTGTGGCAAGACTGGCCATTACAAAAATGAATGTAATGCAAAAGAAAAGGCTAGTCAAAAGAACAAAACTTTTGTTCAAAAAAAAAATAGGTTGCCTGAGTGGGCTAGAAGGAATCTGATTTATCCCTTTGCCCATAGAAAGGGACCCAAACTAGTTTGGATTCCTAAGACTAACCCCTGATTTCTTTTTGCAAGTCTAAGTGAAGGGAAGCAGCCAAATATGGTACATGGATAGTGGCTGCTCAAAACATATGACTGGAAGCAAGAACCAGTTCCTTTCACTTAAAGACTTAAATGGAGGCAATGTCTCCTTTGGAAATGGGAAGAAAGGTGAGATCATTGGGGTTGGAAAGGTAGGTAAGACAGACTCTCACTCCATTGAGAATGTCTACCTGATAGATGGCTTGAAATACAATCTTATCAGTGTGTCACAACTTTGTGACAGAGATAACCTTATAGCATTCACCTCTACTAAATGCTTTGTGATTAATCTTACCACTAACAAGATTGTTTTGCAGGAAAAAAGAGTTAATAATATTTACATTGTAGATTTGTCCACTCTCTCAGAAAATGAACTAACCTGCCTAAGTGTGCTGGATAATGATCCCCTCCTATGACACAAAAGACTTTGTCATTCCAGTCTGAATTAGCTAAACTAATTGGTCTCTAAGGACTTGGTGATGGGTTACCTAACATCAAGTTCAAGGAAGACAACGTTTTTTAGGCTTGTGCAAGGGGGAAGCAAGTAAGATTATCTTTCAAAAGCAAGAAAATGGTAAGCACGACCAAGTTGTTGGAACTGCTCCATATGGATCTATGTGGTACAATGAGAACCATGAGCAGAGGTGGAAAGAAGTATGTAATGGTACTTGTTAATGACTATTCTAGATTTACCTGGGTAATGTTTCTAACATCTAAAGATGAAGCATTTGACATGTTTACTGTCTTTGTTCGAAAAACTCAGAAACAATTAGGAAATCAACTTGCATTAATTAGATCTGATCACGGAACTGAATTTGAGAATGCTAAGTTTGCTGAATTTTGTGATGAAAATGGTATAGATCATAACTTCTCTGCCCCTAGGACACCTCAACAAAATGGAGTAGTTAAAAGAAATAATAGGACTCTTGAAGACATGGCTAGGACTATGCTTCTTTCTAGTAAACTTCCCCATAGCTTTTGGGCAGAGGTTGTAGCCACTGCATGCTACATTATCAATAGATGCATGACTAGGCCTCTTGTAGAGAAGACTCCCTATGAGTTACTTAAAGGGAGAAAATTAAATATATCCCATCTTAGGGCATTTGGTTGCAAGTTCTTTGAGCACAATAATGGAAAAGACTCCCTAGGTAAGTTTGATCCCATAAGTGATGAGGGAGTATTCTTGGGATATTCTTCACATAGCAAAGCATACAAAGTGTTCAATAAAAGAACTTTGTGTGTAGAAGAAAGTGTACATGTAGTATTTGATGAAACTAACATTCTTTCTGAGAGACAAGAACACGAAGATGAAGTCATTGGATTGGTAAAGGATCTGACTGAAGCCTCAACACAAGTCAAAGTGGCACCAAAAGAAAGAACATGTGATGAAACAGGTTCTTCCATCCAGGGCAACCTGATAGGGGGAACTAATCAAGGAGGAATTGAAAAATATCCCCTAAAAGAACTTGTTCATGACCCTATTCCTCAGCAACAAAACATGACAGAAACATCTAGCAGAAAGCAGTTGGTTGTGAAACCTTACAAGTTCTCATCCTATTGAGAACATTATCACTGATCCAACAACATCTGAAGTCAAAACTAGATCACAATTAAAGAATTTGTGTACTTTTAATGCCTTTTTATTTCTTATTGAGCCTAAAAATATTGTTGAGGCTTTGCAGGATGTAGATTGGGTGAATGCAATACAAGATGAACTCAATCAGCTCGAGAGAAGTCAAGTTTGGCATCTAGTTCCAAGACCCAAGGATAGATCAGTTATTGGCACTAAATGGGTCTTCAGAAACAAACTTGATGAAGATGGAACTGTTACAAGAAACAAAACAAGACTGGTGGTCCAAGGTTACAGCCAGGAGGAAGGCATAGATTATGATGAAACTTTTGCTCCAGTTGCAAGACTAGAGGCAATAAGACTCCTTATAGCCTTTGCAGCACACATGAGATTCACTCTTCATCAGATGGATGTCAAAAGTGGCTTCCTGAATGGTTACCTAGAAGAAGAAGTGTTTGTAAAACAACCTCCAGGGTTTGAGAGCAAAGAATGTCCTGAGCATATGTACAAGCTAGACAAGACTCTCTATGGACAAAAGAAGGCCCCAAGAGCATGGTATGAACGACTATCCAAATTCCTACTGGAGCATGGTTACAAAAGAGGTAAAATTGACAGTACCTTATTCTTAAGGTAAAAAGGTAAGGATCTCCTTGTGGTACAAATATATGTTGACGACATAATCTTTGGGGCTACCACTGATAAGATAAGTAAGGACTTTGCAAAATTAATGGGAAGTGAGTTTGAAATGAGTATGATGGGTGAGCTTAACTTCTTCTTAGGCTTGTAGATCAAACAAAGTCCTAATGGAACCATGATCCATCAATAGGAGTATGCAAAAGAGCTTACCAAAAAGTTTAAAATGGAAGAATCAAAAGAAATAGACACACCCATTGCAACTGCCACTAAATTAGACATTGGTGAACCTGGTTCATCAGTTGATCAAAAGTTGTATAGGGGTATGATTGGTTTACTCTTGTATCTTACTGCTAGTAGACCTGACATTGTTTTCAGTGTACGACTTTGTGCCCATTTTCAGGCAAATCCAAAGGAGTCTCACTTGACTATTGTCAAAAGGATACTAAGATATCTGAAAGGCACCACTGATATGTGTCTTTGGTACCCCAAATGTAGTAATTTCAATCTAGTAGGATATGATGATGCTGATTATGTAGGTTTTCTAGTGGATAGGAAAAGCACATTAGGTATGGCACACTTCCTTGGTTCATGTATTGTGTCATGGGCTACTAAAAAGCAAGATTCAGTGGCCTTATCCACTGTTGAAGCTAAGTATGTTGCTACTGCCTCTTATTGTGCTCAATTGCTATGGATCAAATAACAGCTGGTAGATTTTGGCATTGAAGTTGGTTGCATTCCTATATTCTGTGATAACACTAGTGCTATAAGTATGACAAATAACCATGTTCATCATAAGAGGACTAAGCACATAGATGTTAGGCACCACTTCTTAAGAGATAACTTTGAGAAAGGTTTGATCTCCATAGAATTCTGTGCTACTGATAAGCAAATTGCTGACATCTTCACTAAAGCACTAAGTAGAGAAAACTTTGAGAGGAACAGTTTGGAATTATGGATGATTAAGATCACCTAATAGGTCCAGCCCAGAATGCACAATGAAATATATATATATATTTGGCTAGGAAAACTAATTGTGTGTAAATATCTAGATTAATTTTTACTCAGGTTCATACTTTAATTAGTATACTCATGTGCCATGTGTTTATATGATTCACTGATCTCTTGCAAAAAAAATTCTCTATTATGGCATTTGAGACATGTTCAAGAGAGTTCAAAATGAAGAACCTGGTTCATCAGTATGATTTCATATGAAAGTTCAGGTATGTTCTCTATACTCTGCACAATTAAAAAGACTAATAATTCAATCATGAGCAGAAGTCCTATACTTGTCAAATTCCTAGAAAAATTTATTCGTTGAGCATCGAACCAGTTATGTCCCTTCAGAATTCTAAAACTGCGATTTTTTACAAAAATCTAGGGAAGCCAAATCTATCATTAAAATGTTGGAATTTCAGTTTGATTAGACTTCTATTTGACCCCTGAAAAAGATGTCATTACTAATTAATGCCTAATTCTCTTTAAATACACACCACATCTCTAATTTTTTCATCATTCTAAAACCGTCAAAAATTCTCTTCCTCAACTCTAATTGCTCTCTTCTCCAAAATTCCCAAATTAACTCAAGAAATCAACAACCATGTTTAACCCACAAGATCATCTTGGAACCCCTCCACCACCTTCTCCCTCAAATGCATCCTCAACTACTCCACCTAGTGAATCTCCAAAACCTAGGTTTCGAAGGCAGAAAATGCTTGCCCGAAAAACTGTAGCATCTGGGGCTCTAAGGAAGGTTTTAAAAGAAAGGTTCAAAGCTAGCCAAGTGAAAGAAATCCCAGCTCAAAATTCTGATTCTAGCTCTGAGACTGAATCTTTTCAATCCGCGACTGAGGGAGATGGACATGGGTCTTCTGACTTTGAGAAGACTCAAGAATTTCCTATTGAGGTAAGTTCATCTGTGATTGACAACTTAGAGACTAGGTTTGTTCTGGTTAGACCCATTAGGGATGTTAAGTTGCCTGAGTTGAGTAGGAGTGGAGGTTAAAAGAAGTCTGAAAAAGAAAAAGAGAGAGAGGGTGCATGTGGCGAAGAGAGGGGAAATGGGAAGGGAGCAGCTCTTGATATATGTGGGGTTGCACAAGAGAATGACATGAAGTCAGGGGGAAGTGGTTCTAGCGAAGCTGCAGAGGGGTTGATTCATCTGAGCAAACGAAGAGATGAACCAGTTTCATCTACTGAAGAGACCCTAGCTGATCTACTGAAAAAGGTTGGAGCAAGCTATGATCCAAAGAAATGTAGAATGGCGAAAGCCCCAAATGTTCATAAGCCTTCCAAGAAAATAAAGGCTTAGTCCCCAACACCTACTGCCTCTTCAGTGCCTAGGGGTAGAGCCACAAGAAGCAGGGTAAAACAGAGTGAAGCTGATCTACAAAAGGCTTTAGAAGAAAGTAATAAAAAGAAAAAGAAAAAGGATAAGGGAAAGGGAAAGATTGCAGAATCCTCTGAGGCCGTAGAGGAAGAGGGGATGGAACTAGTCCATCAAGAGAGGGGTACATATGTGGAGGTTCCTACACCCAAGCCTAAAAAACCCAAGACTTCCTCCAAGAAGTCTTCTTCTGTACCTGTAGCTGCTGAACCCTCACTTGCCAAGAGGACAAGATCTACAGTGAAAGCTAAACAAACAAAAGTTTCTGATGATGAGGATTGGAGTGGAGAAGAAGAAGAAAATGAATCTGAGAAAGAACAGGACAAGCTTGCCATTTTTTGCAAAAGAAAAATCTTGAAAGGTAGACTGTGGAAGGACCTGGTGGAACCAGGAATGATGAGATTGATAGACTGCTTAGTAGCTCAAGGTTGGAAGGACATGGTCCTTCAGATGGAAGGAAGGCTAGCTAGAAATGAGTTGGTTGACTTCATGGCAAATGCTGCTATTAAGGATGGAGTTGTTAGTAGCCAGGTGAAGGGAGTTCAAGTGCACTTCGATGCTGTGAAACTGGGAGAAATTCTGGATACCCTCTTAAGGGTTTGATGACTACACTAGGCAAAGGTGGCCATGCCTGGACTCCCTACCTATTTCTCTTGAGCACTAAGAGGTTCTGTGATTCAGAGGATGTGAATGAAGTCAGGGCTGTGCAGAAAAGTGAGATGAGGCCTGACCACAAGGTTGTGTTTGAGTTTGTCAATAAGTGCCTACTGCCCAGACAAGAGAGAAGACATACTGCAAACCACATGGACCTGGTTCTTATGGAGTGCCTTGAGAGAGGAAAGCAAATCAATTGGCCTGCCCTCATTGTCAAATTGCTAGACAGGGTCATGAATGGCTCCAAGGCTCATGCTAATCCATATGGCTTCATACTGACCACAGTTCTGGACAGACTGAACATGCCTTTAAATAAATGGTAAATGGCATCAAGCAAGGAACATTTTGGCATTAATACTCTTCTATCTTGTGACTATCCAGTCAATGCCATCCCAGTTGAACCTGGTTCATCTCTGAGTACACCCATTAACAGCAAGGTTAGGACTTTGGTTCAGGAATGTGGAACTAAGGATGCTGAAATTGCTAGGCTCAAGGATCGTATGGCTGAATTGGAAACTGAGATGGATGGCCTTAGAACTGAGCTAGAAAAAAAGAAAAGGAGAAAAGTGATGGAATCCTTTAGAATATGCTGAACTTTCTCCAGACTCAACCCTCTAGTTCCTCCAAGCCTTAGGTCTCCTAGTACTTGTCTTCTGAACCTGTCTAGTTCTAAGTAACCCCAGTGACCCAGATTAGAGAATTTTCTGTTTTTTCTCATGGTTTGGATATTTTTCTTTCTAAGAAAGTGGATTGTTAGTGGCAACATATCTCTATCAATGACAACTGTTGTTTTCTCTTATTTAATGATTATTCTGACCTTGATAGTTTAAATATGTTTGTTTGATTACTGATAATTGCACCATGATTGAACTTGTAGTTGCCCCAGTGGCCATGAGTACTTATTAAAATCTAGAATTCACACTGTGAATGCAACTTTTTGATGATGCCAAAAGGGGAAGATATATTGTGCTTTATACATTATTATGAAATAAGTGATATTTATAACCTAATTAACCTGGTCCTTGATGAAAAGAAACTTTTCTAAGTGTAGTGTTGATGGTTAAGCTGAGTTCTTGCAGGTTTTTTGATACATAAAATGCACAGAGTTTGTCATCATTAAAAAGGGGAAATTTGTTGGCCCAAGAACAGGTGGGGTTTTGAAGAATGACAAATGAACTCAATCATGGACCAGATCCATCTTGTAAAGTACTGTCATGATCAACCTACACATGTGAGATGCACGTGAAGGAGATAAGTCCTACTGATCAAGCAGCAATATCTCCTGATGTGATCGAAAAGGTTGCATATTGGATAAAGGGAGAAAGTCTCCTTATATGTAAAGAACACAATCCAGATAAAGAGAGTGTTAGAGTTTGATATCGTCAAGGACTCAACTACGATAGAAGATCAGCAATTGAGTCCCAATAAAACTCTGATTTCTAACCTATTAAATAACAGTGATTGTTCTCTTTTATAGGTATTGCACAAACACAAAAGTTAAACTAAATTGAAAGCAAAAGAGCAAGGCGATTTTGCAAGCAATTTATGTGAAATTTGACTGTGCACTCATAAAGCTACTTGAACGAGATAGAAGAACCAGTTCCATTGTGTTTTTTCTTTTTCTAGTTCAATTGTAGTAGGTGGTTTAAAGTTGTACCTTTCAGCTTTCATAAAAGCAATTGTATTTGGTACTTTGAGTGTTCAAGTTATAAGCTAACTTGAAGTTGTCACAATAGTTGAGGCTGTGTGTTACAACGGGATTAGAGTTAATCCTTAGGCTTACAAAGAGTTTTTATAAATGCTGTTTTGGCTCAAAGATTTTAGTGGAAGTTTGCAAAACTCCTACTGAGTAGTAGGTCGTGGTTTTTTCTCCTTTTGAGCCAAGTGTTTTCCACGTAAAAAATCTATGTGTTCTTTATTTTATGTACTTTTTATTCCACAAATAGTAGTAGTTAGAACACCTAGAAGAACCAGGTTCTTCTAGAGCAAAAATTGGGTACCACACAAATCACCCCCCCTCTTGTATGATATTGACGTTTAGAACATCACACTTCCAAGGATTGATGACCTATTTTACCAACTCCAAGATGGCAAGTATTTCTCCAAGATTGACTTACGTTCAGGGTATCATCATGTGAGGGTTAAGGAGAATGATATTCCAAAGTCGACCTTCTAAACAAGATATGGGCACTTTGAGTTCTTGGTGATGTCGTTCAGGTTAACAAATGCCCTAGCAGCTTTTATGGATCTCATGAATAGTGTATTCAGGCCCTATCTTGATGTGTTTGTGATCGTATTCATTGATGATATTCTGGTATATTCTCGTTTGGAGGCAAAACATGCGGTCCACTTGCAGATAGCATTACAGACGCTTCAGGATCGTAAGTTATATGCTAAGCTCTCCAAATGTGAATTCTAGCTGAACTCAGTAGCATTCCTTGGCCATGTGATATCTGACAAGGGTATTAGTGTCGATAATCAGAAGATCGATACAATGAAGAATTGGCCGAGACCTACAACACTATCAAAGTCTACAGCTTCCTAGGGCTAGCAGGATATTATAGGCTGTTTATATAAGGGTTTTCCTCTATATCAGCACCATTAACTAAGTTAACATAGAAACCTACTTAGTTCTAGTGGTTTGACGCTTGTGAACGAAGTTTTTAGGAGCTAGAGAATCGATTGACATCCATGCCAGTGCTCACTCTCCCAAAAGGAACAGAAGCTTATGTGGTATATTGTGATGCCTCATGTATAGGTTTGGGGTGTGTATTGATGAAACGTGGGAAGGTGATTGCTTATGTATAAAAACAATTGAAGAAGCATGAAAAGAGTTACCCGACTCATGATTTGGGAATGGCTGTAGTAATATATGCTTTGAAGATATGGTGGCACTACTTATACGGCGTCCATGTTGACATCTACACAGATCACAAGAGTTTACAATACATCTTCAAGCAGAAGGAGTTGAATTTGAGGCAGCGTAGGTGGCTTGAATTACTAAAAGATTATGATGTCGAGATATTGTACCATCCCGGTAAAGCTAATGTTGTGGCAGTCGCTCTCAGTTGTAAGTCAATGGGAGGCTTAGTACACACTGAGGCAGGTAGACATGGGTTGACTAAAGAGCTTCATCAGCTAGCCAATATGAGAATAAGATTGTTAGACTCTGATGACGGAGGTGTTACTGTACAAAATACAACACAATCATCTTTGGTAGCCGAGGTAAAAGTACGGCAATATGAAGATCCTACCTTAGTAAGATTGAGAGAGAGCATTCAGAAATGTAAAATTATGGCTTTTGAGATTGGAGGAGATGTGGTACTGAGATACCAGGGCCGATTATGTGTGCCTAATGTGGCATGGTTGCGAGAGAAGATTATGATTGAGATTCATCAATCCCGATATTCCATCCATCCCGGCTCGACAAAGATGTATCATGATGTTAAGGAGCAATATTGGTGGGATAACATGAAGAAGTCTATTGCAAAATTTGTAGCCTAGTGTCCTAATTGTCAACAAGTAAAGATCGAGCATCAAAAATCCGGTGGGTTGATTCAGAATGTGGAGATTCCGACCAATAAATGGGAGGTGATTAATATGGACTTCATTATTGGATTACCTCGCTCTTATCATAAGTTTGACTCTATCTAGGTGATAGTTGATCAACTTAAAAAATGTGCCCATTTTCTGCCAGTTAAGACAACGTACATGGCTGAAGATAATGAAGTTGTATATCAAGGAGATTGTTAGGCTTCATGGTGTGCCGGTATCTATTATATCAGACCAAGGAGCTCAATTTATGGCTAACTTTTGGAGGTCTTTTCAGAAGAGTTTAGACACGCAAGTGAATCTCAGCACTGCATTCCATCCGCAGACTAACGGACAGGCTGAACGTACCATTCAGACACTTGAAGATATGCTACGAGCATGTGTTCTAGATTTCAAGGGGAATTGGGATGATCATATGCCACTCATAGAATTTGCCTACAATAATAGCTATATTCCAGTATTAAAACGGCTCCATACGAGGCACTGTACAGGAGGAAATACAGATCACTAGTTGAATGGTTTAAGGTCGGTGAAATAGAATTATATGGGCCAGATTTGATTCACCAAGCCATTGAGAAGGTGAAAGTGATATAAGAACGACTGAGGACGGCGCAAAGCAGGCAATAGTCTTAGTCCGATGTCCGACGTCGTGATGTGGAGTTTGAAGTTGGTGATTGGGTTTTCCTGAGAATCTCGCCAATGAAGGGTGTTATGCATTTTGGGAAGAAGGGTAAGTTGAGTCCAAGGTATATCGGGTCGTACAAAATTTTTCGACGAATTGGACAAGTTGCTTATGAGTTAAAATTGCCATCTGAATTGGAATTTGTCCACCCGGTATTCCATGTATCTATGTTGAGAAAATATATTGGAGACCCTTCTCGAGTCATCCCTATCAAAGATGTACAAGGTAAAGAGGATCTATCATATGAAGAAGTTCCAGTGGCTATATTAGATCGACAAATATGCATGCTGAGAGCAAAAGATGTAGCTTCCGTCAAAGTATTGTGGAGGAACAAGAATATAGAAGAAATGACATGGGAAGCAGAAGAGGATGTGAGTCTAAATACCCTTACCTATTCCAGAATAAAGATAACAAGGATGTCGGGGGAACACATGATGTATTAGAAGGTGAAACGGCTCTATGAGGTAAGTAATAGCTTGAGAATACTTGTCACGGCCCGGATTTCCCGCCCTCGGGAGTCGTGATGGCGCCTACTAGTGAAAACTAGGCAAGCCAACCGTTTGAACAATTTACATTTTTCCTAGTTTTAATCCTTTAATAATTGTGAACCAACAATTTATAGACATCGGAATTTAAACAAGTGGAAGAAACAATTAAAACCATTTAAATATTTCCAATACGATTTCTTAATCAAAGACTACCCAGAACTGGTGTC